GAGACCAGCTGATGGAGGTTCCCTATGCCTGGGAGCCTCCATGGCCCTGGCGGCGGCGGCAGCACCCCCGGCGAGTAGGATGATCTCACTTTGCGGATCAATAAGCTTATGGAGAGGAGGAGAAGGATGGTGGATGTGAGAACTGGGAGAAAGGTTGAGGTGGCGGATAGCTCTCTCACTTGCTCCATGACAACCTTTTTTGTCACGTATATTCGATTTAATTTCTTGGTGATCTAGTCCTCCATCCCTTAATATAGACGTCCGGGAAAATGACATATAAAATACATATTATAACAGTATTTGTAAATCCCAAATCCACAAATCACTGGAGAGATTCGTGGTTCATAAGTAAGAAACCGACCTTAACTGACAAGACGCGTTTTGGGTGAAATGGATGAGTTCTTGTGAGAACTCCGAAGTTAAACGTGCTCCGTGTGGAGCACAACAAGGATGTGTGATCTTATGGGAAGTCACCCTAAATTATACCCCAAATCGTAATCCGTGCGGGTGTAGAAGCCCAAAGTGGACAATATCTTATCCGAAAAAGATTCGCGATGTTACAATATTGCCTCGCGCCGGCATCTTTCAATAATTATATACTGTCCACATGTAATATGAATCAGTTGTTTGTTTCTTTGTTTCTCTTTTTAAAAACGAAAACCTTAATATTAAGTTCAATTTTAAAAGAGGTGAGAATAGGTAGGGTCTATATAATAGATGATTACGATGATGAGACATTATTAATTATTTGGTAATATTCAAATAATTGAACTAGCACAGGGCTCGGTCCGTTGGCCGGAAGAATTTTGTCGAGAAATATGATATATAATAATGGATATAATAGATAATTTGAAATGCATGAAATGATTGTTTTCTACCTTAGTTATGCGCATAACATTTTTGGAAGTGATCGAACTATGTATAATATATTTAGACTTTAGACCTCCATGAAAATAGAAAAAAAATATAATATAAGCATTACATATAATTATTGAATGAAAAAAATATAGTCTTTCGATACTTAATTAAACCATATAGTTGAATATTATAGTTGCTTCTCATAATTCATACATAATCAAACTTTAGGATGAAAGAAAATGTCTCATAGAGTTTATTATGTCCTTTAAGTTTTTCCCAATAGAGAGCATTCTTTTTTACCACACTCTTGGTAATGAATATGAAGTTGCTTGATTTGAAGAAGAAGGACAATTATTTCACACTACATAATTTTCCACCTCTTTTAAATGTCCTCTCATTCTCTCTTTGCATTCCTCTTTGTTTTTCCATTTGTTCTTCAATCTCTCTCTCTCTCTCTCAGCTTTGTATCTCACAACTCACCTCCTTTTCCCTTCCTCTTTCTTTCCACCACTTGAAATCGAGAGAAACCTATAAACATCCCAATTACGTCTCCAATTTTGCGTTCGAAATGCTTCTTCTCGATTCACAACCAATAGTGTGAATCAGAGCACCTGAAACCTGGCGAATGATGGTCGCTTATTCATCGACGGAGCAAAGTAGATTGATAGCTTGTGAATAAATTAATTATTAAAAGTGATAAAAAGCAGGACTCGTTAAACCAATTGAGTGAGTGTATAGTTAGCTCATCGCTTTAAAGCCTTAAACCATTGTATTTATCTAAAGAATCAAAATGCATAATCAGGTTCATCTTCACCTTACATGTATTTTTCGTACAAATTCATTACACATAAAAAAAAGTTTTTGAACTGAAGCCATATTAAACTAAATCTCATCTTATGATTATTGGATCCATGTCAGATTAGCAAGAGGTCTAAGGCTATTGGTCAACTAAACTAAAAATTAATACTAATTTAAGAATTATATATCGCTTCCAAAATGTCGAATACTCCAATTCAATATTCAATATTCAAAGAAATTATATATGAGTTTCAAAAATCTGAGTTCAACGAATCAAAAATCTGAAGTGAAGTGCTCACGAGGGGGAGCATATACGGACTGCACTCTTTTCCCCTTAACCATGGTTTTTTCCTAATGGATTTTCCTTGTAAGATTTTTAATGAGGCAGTATGAGATAGCGTAATGCAATCTAGTGGTCATCCAAGTGGGAGTATTATGTAAATATTGATATATGGATGACCAATGACCTACAACATTAGATGCTCACTTGTGAATTACATGTAACCATTATTTCTACATCCTTATCTCTCATTCATATGCATTGATATAAGGATGTAGTGGTTACCAAAGTGTGCCTATAAATAGAGCACATCATTGTATCAAAAGTGAAGATAGGGTGCATAACCCATGGTTATGCACCCATCAATAACTAAATCTGGACCATACATTTTAAAACTCTAGATCTAAGGATGGAGAATTAAAAGTCATTTTTATTTTTACTAGCTTTCTTAATCGGCTCATATATTCTTCGTTTTAACTCGGATTTTAATTTTTTTTTTTTTTGCACATATGGACCGAGTTCGTTGTGCTCTACAAAACGAGATCCATTTTCAATATTTTTTGAGAAAAATATTTTCTTGCCTCTCTGTACCAACTGTATACCATATGGTATCCTCTTCGTTTTTAATTCATTTTTTAAAACGTTTGCACTGAAGGAACGAGTTCATCATATGATCTATTGGATCTATAAATTTCTGAGTGAACAAATTACAGGACCCAACAATACCACCATGGTACGAGGTGATATATTGTGGTACACAATGTTAAAAGTGGTAAATGACAGTTAATATCAGTTTTAATATCTATTGGATCTACAAATTTCTTGTAAAACTGCCACTCGGTCACAAAATCGACTCGAAAAAGTCTAAACGTCGATCCGGTTTTATGTAGCGGTCGAGGCGGTTAACCGCTTGAGCCGATCGAGCCGCTCGTCTGGTTTTTATCATAAAACCGTTAAATTTATTTTAAAAAAATTTCAGAAAATTAAAAATTGAAATAAACCAAAAACGTCGGGCTGTCAAACCGAATCCTTATTTCCATTTCACAATTTCGAAGGAAAGAGACGAGCTCTGATTAAGAAAATCCACTATTTATACTGATAACGTTTATTAGGTACCGGTTGTCTAACGATTTTTAAACGGTCTAATGCTGGTTGGACCACTAAAGTGCGAGCCGTTCGCATTACCGGGTCATGCTCCGGTTCGGTTCTGACAACATTGGTTAATATACTTCTACTATCATGTATTCAACCATCCTACAGTCTTGGTTTGCTCGTACTACCATGGTACGCTTTTCAAACCATAGGTATGGTCTTATTTCAATACCAGCCAATACCATATGGTATAGACTGGTAAAAAATTGCTCAATTTTTTTTGTTCCAAAAATATATCAAAGTGGATATCATTTTGAAGAACACATTTAATCTGATTTATCTGTGCAAACAAATATAAATTTCGACTTAAAACGAAAAAGAAATCATCCGTTAAATATTAAAGGGGAAAAGATAAAAGGCTTTCCAGGAGAGAGATGATAATGTCATGTTGATGTGGACGGGTTACTCATGGTTACTCACGATAAGGTTAATCACCGGATCTATCTCCTCTCTTTTCTCTTGTGTGTTTCACTCTCTAATTTTCTATTCTAGTTGTTTATATTTTCTATTATTAGTAATATAATTTTTGTTTTTTCCTTAAATTGAACTACGTTGTTTTATATGATTCAATCAAAGTATCCTTCGTAAAAACCCAATAAATTAAAAGCCCCTCACAAACAAGTTTCTAGCGATTATTATTATTATTATTATTATTATTATTATTATTATTATTATTATTATTATTATTATTATTATTAATAATAATAATAATAATGTATGTATGTCTGTGTGTCTGTCATGATCCAAAAATATTCGGTGAAATATTCCCACATGTATCATGCATGGTGCGCTGGATTAAGACAGGCTGTTTAAGTATTTATAGTAATCAAGTCGGCCACTTGGTACAATTATGCAGCGTTAATCCATTGTTGTGGGAAATATATATAAAAAATTTGGCCACCTGGCTTCCCTAGCTACTGCGTATATAAATATGGTCAAGAATCTTGAACTGAGCAAGTCCCACTACCTCTTACAATCAAATTAAGTAACTTAACACAAATTAAGCCCGAATTAAGAATGTCTGCGTCATATTCAACTTCAGATGAAGCAGCAGAAACCACTCTGCTCATTCGTCCAACTGCCCCCTATCCTCCCACGTTGTGGGTGGACGATTTTCTCACCCTACAGGTTCGTACGTACTCTTCATCCCTATAAATATTTTTTTTTTGATAATGGTGAAATTTTATTAAACTAAGGAAATAAACTGTACACAAGGAGAACCGGATCAAGAGACATGATCCAGGAGAAAAAGAAAAAAGAAACAAAATCAAAGGAAGAAAAACTTCAAATATGTACTCTTCATCCCTATAAATATTAGGGCTGTATATATGCTTCTATACATTGTATTTTTATTAAATATGTCTCTCTAATATTTTTTACATCAAAAGAAGTTTCTGTATTTTGAAATAGTTATTAAATATGTTGTTCAGTTAATATTTTCATCCAAAAATCCTCAATTATGGTCAAACCGTGGTTCGACCGACATGAACTCGACGAAATGGAGGGAAAATGTTGGTTTTTCCTCTTTGTATATTTCTCTGAGTCTCGATAAAGTGAAATTAATAGGGGTATTGGGCTATACAAAACAAAAAAAAAGTGCATTAGGGATATATTAGACATTTGCGTCTCGCAAAGCAAAGTTCGATTGTGTTTGCAATCTTTTGGTGAAAATTTTAGCATAATAGCATGTTTGATAATTTTTTCAAAATACAGGAACATGTTTGACTTAAAAAATAGTAGAGAGACATGTTTGATAAAGATGTATAGTGGAGTGACTAGGTAAAAGTTATGTCACCTATGCATAAATATGAATTGATTTACCTAATTTATCGATGAATTACGTGAAAAAAAAAACATTTATTCACAACTTTACCAGGAACGAATTAACATTATGATATATATATATATATAGGTGGTGGGTAGATTTGGACGTGGCGACCAACTTCAAATACGCAAGAGACAGAATTGCGGAGTGCTACCTGTGGGTAATGGGGATGTATTTTGAGCCCAAGTACAGCCAAGGCAGGAGGCTACTGACCAAGTTGATAGCGGTCATGTCTCTTGGGGACGATACTTACGATAACTATGCTACATATGAAGAACTCGCTCCCTTCACCGAGGCCATTGAAAGGTACGTAATAATTCATTAACTACCTAGTTGAAGAATTGATTCATTCTATTTCTACTCATCTTAATTAAGAAGGAAACTATTATTAACTGCTCGCATGCATGCAATGCAGGTGGGACATCAATCTCGTGAGTAACCTCCCAGAATGCATGCAGAGGCTTTATGCGTTGTATCGCGATAGTTTCGACGAGATTGAAGAGGCATTCGCTGCAGACGGAAGGCCATTTGCTATAGTTTACGCGAAAAAGGCCGTAAGTATATATAGTACTAAGCGAGGACTTTTGGGGAGGACACCCAAGAGTAAAACCGTGCGGGCTTGGCCCAAAGCGGACAATATCGTACTAAGCGAGCACTATCCGACTCTCAAGAACCCAAATAAAATTCCTAATTTTCCTAGCTAGTTGAAGAATTGACTACTCAATTTAATTAATTGGTCGCTCGCATGCATGCAGGTGGGACATCGATCTCGTGAGTAACCTTCCAGAATGCATGCAGAAGCTTTATGCCTTGTACCGCTATAGGTTTGACGAGATTGAAGAGGCATTTGCTGCAGGCGGCAGGCCATTTGGTGCAGTTTACGCGAAAAAGGCCGTAAGTCCAACTACTGAATTCAATCATTATCAAATTCGAATCGATATATTATATATGACCGTGGCATATTGTTTTCCGGCGAGAAAACTTGCGTTGAATTGATATTGATTGCACCTTGACTTCTTTGGACAACGATCACTAAGACACGGTTCACACCTCTTCGAACACAGTTCGAACGAGGGTGTTCGATGTTTACATGACTCACGAGACAGAATCTAAATTAAATTACCCTACTCCTATGGAGGTTCAGTAAGAGCTCCAGATCTACTACTACGGCTAAAATTGCAGAGGAAAGGATAAAGGGATAAAATATGACATTGTGTTGTCTAGTGTGAATTTGGCGACCCCCTGTCTCTGTCGACCCCTCCTCTTATTTGTAGCCCCGAGGAGGTAACCGCCATAGAAAACCGTTTTTTGGATAACTGCTGCAAAGAACCGCTCCTCCTTCTTCGGTAGAAAACCGCCTCTTGGACAACTCCCAAAAAGAACCGCTCCCTGCTTCCTCGGAGTGGTGGTTACTCCTTCAACCGCCTAGGTGCCTCTTGGAACCGTCGTGGGTTTTGGAGTGTAGCTTGCCTCGCCTGGTCTTGTTCTGAATCTCCTGTCATGCTAGTCTTTTGATAAGCATGCGGTGTCTCACAAAGGGGGTCGTGGTCTTCTTGCCTCACGGCCATGGACTTCTTACTCATGTCCATGGCCTTCTTGTCAAGGCCATGAACTTCTTAATCATGTCCATGGCCTTCTTGTCTAACGGTCATGGACCTCTTGAGACATATTCACTAGTGATATAATGCTCCATCACCACACCCTTTTTATTTGTGTCCATGACCCCTCTCATGAGGCGGCATGGACCTCTCAATCGTGCACATGGCCCCTCTCGTGAAGCGGCATGTTCTTCCCTGACTTAGAATATTTTTAGGTCATTCAAATTTGGTCATAAGGCGGCATGACCTCTTCATTCGCGACCATGGACCTCTCATTCATGCTCGTGGCCCTTCCAGTGACACGGCATGACCTTCTCGATCTCTAGAGGGACATGACCCTCCTCGTTAAAGCGACAAGTCCTTCTCCACACTAAGAATATCTTTGTCTTCTTTGAAGTGTGATTCGCGGCCTTGTGTCCATGGCCCCTCTCGTGACACGGAATCTCATGATAATACCATGCAAAACAATCTTTAAATTCTTTCAATAAGTTTATTAACTCATACCTGTCTTGCTCAGATAGCATGGCACTGATGAAGGTTGGACGTGGGTCTTCTTCAGTGCCAAGATTGATCTCTTCCAAAATATCACGAGAAGTCATGTGATCCTCTTCTTCCTCATCTATACTTGGTCCCTCGCTGACGCGCTAAAACACAACACCTAACAATGGCCAAGTGTAACCAATGAAAGGGACTACAGTATAGTGGCATAAGTAATAAATATCGAATCCACGGGTCTCTAGAGTTACTATTACTCAGCTTCAGTTCATTATCTAGCAAACTAGATTAAGAATTGATTGATAAACTACTCTACTGACTACTCTACTAATTACAAGTTGGGAACTCACTTAGGTATGATTCCCCCTAGCTCCTCAATTAGGTCCAAGTTGCAATTGCCTTTGGTTGATCTACTGTTGATTAAACTGCGGAAGATCCTAAATTAGCTTGGAATCTTTTAAGCTGACCAAGCCCTCTCAGACAGAATACCCGGCAGGCGACTAGCCTTCACCGGGATAGACTGCTAAGGCGATTCACACAGATCTCCACTACTGGAATGAATTCCAGTACAAAGCAGTGAATTGATTGACTCTCGCACAACCAATTCACTACTATCAATCAAGGAAGCTCTCTTAACCTAATCAGATTCTATCTATCATAGGTTAAAGCAGAAATCAAGAGAATTTGATCAAGATCCAATTGACTCAATAAATCATGCCTCAATCGATTATAATCAAACAATATAGCATCCAAAACTTCATACAAGAAAGATCCTAACACATGGAACTAGGGTTCCTCAAAACCTAAGTGAAGGGAAGTTACTCCATAGAGAAGAGAGAGACTGCAGAAATCTGATCTAGATCTTCAATCTCCATCTCCAAGCTTTATTCCCGAGCTCCAATGGCGAAAAAATCCTCCAAAATAGCTCCAAGAATGTTCCCAAGTCGCTCTCTCTCTCTAGGGTTCGTCCCTTGGGTGTTTGGGATCCAAAACCCAGCTCTCTCCTTTCCTTTGGCTGAAAATCGGGTTTTAAACAGCAATTCCCGACTCACACGGGAAGGCAGCACGGCCTTGCAGCTCACCCAGTTGCCCGTGCGAAGGCTCGGTGATTTCCGCACGGCCACGACTCGCACGGCCGTGCAGCTCACCTTGCACGGCCGTGCGGATTTTCTGCTATGCCCGTGTGGCTTGCTCAGCCTCTGTTTAATGCTTCGTTTCTCCCTCGTCCAGACTCCGAATCAGTCCCCGTTTGATCCCAGACGCTCGTAGTCTCGTCCTCTTTCGTTTCATAACAAGCTTGCATGATTCTTTGTCCATAAAGTGAGGTAAAAATCCATTCTTCTTCAGGTCATGCCCGAGTTTCTTCTCTTTAATCGTCAATTGATCTCTGATTGACTTGAAACTTGCGCCTATGCTTCACTTTATGTGCTAGGACCTGAAATGGGACAAAGGAACACAACCTAGCATAAAATAGGCCAAAGACGCGATAATTCAAGCTCAAACAATCAAGAAACAAAGGGGAAAACATGTGCAAATACCGAGTCATCAGTCGCCTTCTTCAGGAAAGTCGTCTTCGGGAACACAGTCGGCCACCAACATAGGCTCCTCCCACACTAGCCTCTGTTCGAACTGATAAATGGTCAACTTCTCCATCAAGGCCGTGACTTCGGCCTCCCTCGCCACCTTGTCTTGTGATGGCTTACTCATCATCATCTTTTACTTCAGCCTTAGGTGGACCATCAAGAGATATCATAGATGGTCTCACTATCTCCGAGAGTGGATCGATGCAAGCCTTGCTCAACACCTTGGCATCGAGAATACCACAGTACAAGACCCACCATCCATACTTCTAACTTGCAACGGCCCAAAGTCTCCATCATATAGTGCGGCTTCGGCCATGTTGGCTCCCACGGCAAAAGGCTTGGTGTCTGCTTGTACTACTTCAACCACACCGTCCTCATTCCAGAACATCAAACATTGATGAAGTGAAGATGGGACACACTTGTTGGTATGGATCCAGTCTCTTCCCAACAAAGCATTGTAACTTATCACCCCGTCTACTACAAAGAAAGCAGACATCCTTTCTTGACTACCCACTCCCACCATAACCGGCAAAATTCCTCTTGCCGAAGTTGAGCCTCCATTAAAACTTGTCACGAAGATCTCCGTGGGAATCAAGTACCCCGTGCTATTCACAAGTTTCCTTAACATACGAGTTGGCATCACGTTGACAGCAGCTCCATTGTCAACCAAGATTCTTGACATGGGCACACCATCAAGACTAGCCTTGATGTAAAGGGGTCTCAAATGCCTTAGCATACTCGGCTCGGGCTCTTTGAACACCACCAAGTGGCTTGACTCATCATTTTTAGTTTCTATCATAACTTGTTTTCCTTTCGAGGTGGCTACATGCATGACGGCCTCTTCTTCCGGTGTGCCTTCATCGTTTGCCAATGGACCTTCTTGCTCGTCATCAAACTCCCATCCCAATGTAGGGTTGTTGATGGCTGAAAGACGTGGCTTCAGGACCCTGGTACAATACGTAGAATGTGTACCGACCATCATCTTCTCCAAGCAAACCCACGTTCCTATGGTCTGCTTCGTGGATCTCCCTCAAAATTTGCTCTTGCCTTGCCGTCTCGATGGCCAAATCTATCCTGCTTCCCAAACGAGCCATCCTCACACTCCATGGCTCATCACTAGCTTTGAGACGTGCGAATGCCTCAGTCAACTCAGCAACTGCTCCATCTTCATCACTTGCTTCTTCCACCTCTTCACTCTCTATATCTCCTTCACGATTTTTTTCGTCGAATTGGAAGACCATGGGCAGTATGTAGTTAGTAACAACTACCGGTGGCAGGCTTCCAAATTGGATGGTCGTAGGACCCTGACCGTCCTCCTCATCATCTTTGTCACCTGTGTTGAACTTGGAGTTGGGAAGATCATCTTCCAGCATGTCGTCTTCAGCATACTCGTCTTCATAATCACCTTCTTCTTCTTGGAACTTGTCCTCAACCCCTTCTCGAACTTTGTCATCACTCTGAACTTGAACCTGCTTGCCTTTGTCAATCACGCTCACTTTGAACCCCGTGGTCATGGAGTTTTCCAGTTTGAGATTTGGTTGAAGTCTACCTTCTCGTCTCCATTGTGTCACACCCAATATGTTGCCACAAGCCGTAGGGAATTGGCTTTGACGTGCTTGAGCATTCTTGCAAAGGAACCTTCTTCTTTGAGTCCTTGTCATCTCAGCCACTGCTACTGGTTGTTGACGACGAGAATCATACGTATGCCATCCACCGTGTGGAATATCTGGCATCTTGAATGTTCTCCTCTTTTGGAGAGGAGCATGGGCCACCCATTGTCTCGGTTGCCCCCAAGCTGGTTGCTTCACTCCTTCCACTTGTCTTTCGTATGGCGGGTACCTTGGCCTTGGCCTGTTGGGAAGACCAATTCTTTGATGAATCGATGACCTCGGCTTCTCTTCGTCGAGTTTGATACTCTTCTTGCACTGAGCACACAACTTGTCAACTTCATCAGTCATCATTGCGGCCGGGCTGGCCTGCTTGGTACCCGAAGAGCTCCCTTGCTCGAAAACCACATTGGGGCTCCTTCGAGGCGGCGTTGTATCCAACACCAGCTTGAAACGTGGCAACTCGAATTTGGAGAAGTCTGGGTTGACCATGTTGACGCCAAGCACCTTGGGGAACGGATCAGTGTCCACCAACATGGCGTCCTTCTTCGCCTCAGGAAACTTGATGTGTACCTTATCAATGGCATCCTGCAAGACATTACGGAACA